AAGTTAAATGACAGAAAAAGTTATATTAATATGTAATGAAGTTTAACAATTAGATTCGAATTAATAAAGAGTAGTTTCTACTAATTAATACAGACATGTAACAATTTAATAAGATAATAATAATAACATTAAATGGTAATGTGTATCGTATTTAAGTATAAATATTAGTGTAAACACATAGCTAGTATATAGGTTATAGTATAAAATTAGACATCTTATCACATTAATAGATCTAATTGTAATTTTTATGTCTAAGGTATTTAATTGTTAATTTATATGTTAAGATTAAGTTTTGTATCTTATTATAAGTCTTATGTATAAACGCTGCTCTTAATGTTGTTATATTATTAACAGAGCTATTAACATGTAAGAGTCTAATATTCTTATTTACAAATTATCTATTTTTAATCTATACAATACTATCTTTATTCTATATCCTTAAATAATAAGAGACTTAAATTAATTAAACATGACAATATTTTTTTTTCTGATTTTATTATACTCTTTAATAATATATATTATATAAATTATCAGCATTTACCTCATACTTATAGGCTAAATATATACAATAATTGTTAATTTAATATATTTATTGATCACTATAATTATAAGGGTCATAAAAACTGATATAATAATAATATTGAAAAAATTAACCTTACACTTTATATAGTCATTTTATCCTTCCCTTTACTTAATGATCTCCCGTATTTTTAGTAATAAAAGTAAGATTTAAGCCTATATATGCTATATATAAGTCTTAAATTTTTAGCTATTATAGATAAAATAATTAAGTTTTAGGAGATAGACCTTTTTATTTTTATATATTTATTATATCTATATAAAGGAGACATTTAATCTATTCATTTGCTAGTATAGGTATTTAAAATAAATAACCTACCTATACAAACCGTTATGTAATTATAAATATTTAAACTCTTAATTCAATTCGTAATGTAACTATTAATACAAATTATACCAAATCTTTACTAAAATAAACTTTATAGCACCAGTATAAAATAATTTAAGTAAACTAATACTGTCATATCAGAATAATGTTAGGTAAGTGGTTTAAACTAATGGAGATGAAGTGATTAGAATTATATAAGAGGTACGTATACTTTTTAGGATTTGTGGTTATAATTATTTTTTCATTATGAATTAAATAAGAAATATTTTAAAAGTATTATAATAAGATAAAATGAAATGTTTAGGCAAAAATTTAGAGTTATACCTGTTTATAATAGGATTTAATGATGTAATATAAAATTATGGTTATGATTAGAGAAAGTAAGTTGGAAATAAAGACAAAAGATTGGATATTAAAATATTAAGATGATATTATATGTATAACCTAATACTTTATATGATAAATATAGGTTAAGTAGAGGATATGCTTAATAATTGTAGAAATAACTGTAACAAGATAAATTGTTAAATATTTGTTGAAAAAGAGGTAGTTGTAAAATACTAAACTAAATAAAATGGTTAATACCTTTAATGTTACGTATACT